TAGCACGCGTCTGAAGATGAAATACGAATGCTCTTGAAAGAAAGAAAGAGAGAGAGAGAGAGAGAGAGAGAGAGAGAGAGAGAGAAAGAGAGAAAGAGAAAGATAGATAGATACGTATAAGTGTACTGGGTGTTCCACTCGACTTGATCATTCTCCCTTTCTCTTTTTCTATCTCTGCACGATCATACAATGAAATATTCGAGAAGAAGAAAGCTATCCCTTGAAGAAAAAAAAAAAAGAAAAAAAAAAAGAAAAAAGAAAGAAAGAAAGAAAGAAAGAAACGAGGGGGCAAAAAAAAAAACACTGACCGTATTAGTTCTCTTGGAAAGAAAATATTTTCATCATTCACGTCGTAAGTCACATTTTACAAAGGATATAATGAAAAGTGCTAAACGATCAAGGTCAATGAAACACCCTGTATATTGTTGCTCAACCTGGGGATTTACAACGTCGGACGTGAAATTAATGTCGACAATTTTTAATCGCGCTCACGCGACGCCTTTACCCGTCTCCCTCCCTTCCATCCGCCATCTCTCACTCATATTCCCTATCCCCCTTTTATCCTTCTACCAACACTACTATTTTCTGTTTTCGACCAGACAAGTCGACGATATTCTCGAGATATTACCTACATTCATTTTTCGACTATTAGTTTGAGCCACGTTTAAAAATTAAAAGCGGGATCGCGATTCTCTCTCTCTCTCTCTTTTTCTCTCTCTCTCTCTCTCTCTCTCTCTCTCTCTCTTCTTTTTTTTCCCCATATTCCTCGAAGAAAGTTTGTTTTAAGAGGGTTGGTAGTTGTAACGGCGTTGGTATAGCTTGGGGAATGGCGTCCCGACGCCACTAAATTTCTTTCTGCTTTATCTCAATTCATTTTGGCTGGTGTATGGGCGATGCAACGCCACCACGTCAACGTAATATATCAAACGTTGGAAAGGTCGCGGACGGAAGGGTTGTAGAAAGTAGAGAGGGAGGGTTGAAAGAGGACGAAGAGGGAAAGGGGAAGAGAGTTGTCGGAAGGCAGTTGCTCCGAGGCAGGAGTTACGAGTTATCCGTAACTCCTATCCTGGTAATATTTGGAAGGTGAATATGTAACGTCGGAAGAGAAGTCGAAAGAGAGAGAGAGAGAGAGAGAGAGAGAGAGAGAGAGAGAGAGAGAGAAGGAGTGGGAGAGGGAGAGAGTGAGATGGATGGACGTAAATGCGTATTTTATTCAGTAGTTAACTCGCAGAAAATCCTCACATCAATTGCTACATCTAACATACGAAGTTTAATTAAATATGTAATATCTCAAAATTAACTTCTCAGATATGAAATATATGAGAGCCATTAGTACTTCATTTTAATCAATTTCATTTTGTAATGTAGAAATATAGATAACGAATTATATTGAATAACGTTAAACATTTTTAAAATCGAATAGTATACAAAATAATTTATAAATGAGATAGATTTTTGATGACCTATTTTATAATGAAAAACGGAGATACGAAATAGAGAGGGGGAGAGAGAGAGAGAGATAGACAGACAGACAGACAGACAGACAGAGCAAACATGAAGTCACAGGAACACCAAGGTCTAATATATATATATGTATGTATATATAATATTATATATATGTTTATACTTATATATACATATAAATATATATATATATGTATATGTATAACATGAAGTCACAGGAACACCAAGGTCTAATATATATATATATGTATGTATATATAATATTATATATATGTTTATACTTATATATACATATAAATATATATATATATGTATATGTATATGTATATGTATATGTATATGTACTCATTTGGATATGTCTCACATGCACCTGGAGGTTGAAATGTCTTTGGAAGTGAATTTTGCCGGTCCGACTAGCAACGCAAACGAGTGGATGAGCTAGTATACGCTTATACGCGCATGCTTTTATGTATAGAAGGTACGGACACGTGCAGGCCGACTCTATTTTATGAGGCTACCGGGACAAGACGAGAGTTTATTTGACTAGGGAAGAGAATTTCTCTAGCTTCCTTCGTCCCACCGTAGACATCTTTAGAAGAGCCCTTTTTACCGCTATCAACTATTCCTGACAATTGTTCCTTATAGATACCTTTCTCTCTTGAATCTTTCTTCTTGAAGAGGAATCATGAAATTAGAAGGATACCCCTTACTCTTTTCTCACCTCGTTTATACGTTTTTCAAGCGTCATCGTCGTTCATAAATAATATTTGCCTTGCAAATTCATTTATAAAATATTCAAATCCTCGACAACGCTTTATAATGTCGTGATTATTGAAAATAATTAAGGTTAATGAAATTACCAAAGATCGAAGAATGTTACGAGATAAAATGATCGAGAATGATAAATGATTTTGAAAAAGAAAGTCCCGATATATCTTTCAGAGTGGATATTTTATTTTTATCCACACTTTAAAAAAAAAAAAAAAATATATATATATATATATATATATCGAGAATTTTATCAAAAAGCTGAGTTGAAAATAGTCTGATATTCTTTCTTTTCGATAAGTCGTCAGTTATAAATAAAATATATTGGGATGATCTCGTTATATAGTAGTTTTAATATTTATGAAAGAAAAACAAAGAGATACAACAGACAAGTATAATGTAAACGTAACTCGTCCAGTCGTCGATACGTTTGTTTTTATATATATATATATATATATATATATATATATATATATATGTGCGTGTATGTATGTATGTATATATTATCTCAAAATACAATCATATAATGAAAACGATGGTTAATAATTTGTAAATGGAATAAAATTAAGAAAAAAATAAAGAGAGAGACTGAGAGAGAGAGAGAGAGAGAGAGAGAGAGAGAGAAAATAGACAAAAGAAAAATTTTGCAAGATATCGTCTTTTTATCATTAGTATGTCACCTCAGGTCTTATCTTCCTTTTTCTTTTTCTCTTTTCTTTAGGTAAATCGTAGTTAACTTTCTCGCACAAATTATCATTCGTTAGGACGAGAACGCAAGCTTTCGTTTCGCAGCTATCACGACACGAAATTTATGATCCAAGACGATCGTTAATCTCTTTTCTCGGCGTTCACTTCTCCCCTCCTCATTCTTCGTTCCTCCAGGCTTTCCTTATAATAAATCGAAGGCGTTCCTCGAAAAAGGAGAAGTCGAGTTGGACGAGATCCCGATGGCTTTCGTAAATATTTCTCGTCCATGCTCGTAGAACCTTCTCTACCTTTTCTTCCTCTTCCTCTTCTTCTTCTTCTTCTCTTTTCTTCTCTTTCTCTATTGTTTCTATCTCTCTCTCTCCTTCATTTTTTTCCTCTTTCCCCTTTTTCATTGATATGATCTGTCTCTAAGGAAAATCCTTTTCCAAACAATCCACCGAGACTCTCCCTCAAATCTTTCGATATCTCTTGTGCGAAAGCTCGCATCGCCTATGGCACCACGAAGAAGAAGAAGAAGAAGAAGAAGAAAGAAAGAAAGAAGAAGAAGAAGAAGAAGAAGAAGAAAAAGGAGGAGAAGGAGGAAAGCCTCACACATATCTGACCCTCGATACTAAAAATGGAAATTTTTGGAAGAATCCGAAACTTTCATGTGTTCGCCACTTTCTAAGTGATAAAATCGGTTGCTCGCTGTTACAGCTACGGTCCTTTCTCATGAGAGAGGAGGAGTGCTTCGTAAACTCTCTTCAAAAAAAAAAAAAAAAAAGAAAAAAAAGAGAAGAAGAAGAAGAAGAAGAAGAAGAAGAAACACAAAAAAAGAAAAGAATTTCTTTCCTCTTTCTCGTTTTTTTCTTTTTCCTCTTTTCCTTTCTCTTTTTCATTTCTCTCTCTCTCTCTCTCTCTCTCTCTCTCTCTCTCTCTCTTTACCACCACGTACAAATCCTACGTTTGAATTCTCTTTGTGCGTTCTCTTAACTTTACAAAAAGAATCGTCTTAATGTAAATGCGAACAAAGAAAATTTATTAGAAATTAGTGTACAAATAATTCGTCATTTTTTTCTGTAATTTGATTTTCTTATTCCTTTGGAGGTGGGTGGGAGGGTTTTTTTTTTATCTTTTTTTTTTCCTGTATAAAATATGCAAACGTACAAAAAGTAACTCAATCTATCTGTAAATTATCTGCGATATGCATATAAGAAGAATTAATTATGATTAGACTCATTCTGTTTGTAATTAAACGCGATCGAAAAGTATTAATGTCTTTTCGTTGAAAATATATTCTCGATAATTACGCATACCTATAGGTATTACAACCGTGCCCGTTTAGAGTTAACTCTCAACTACCATCACGAAGCACAACTACCACTACCATCGTCATCATCACGAACACTATCACCATCAACTGTGTAGAAGGGTCCTTTATTATATATGCGCATTTTAAGTGGCCTACTTGGAGAGATATGCGAGCACAAGTATGCAGACAGAAGCGGCGTCTGTGATTAAGGGTTAAACGGGCTCGTTTGATTTCGGCCGACTGTTTACGCTCGGTCGAGAGCGTATGGCCGAAATAGCTCTCGGTTTACGCGAGTGAGATAGAAATAGTCGGAATCGACCAAACTCCGTTCGATAATAAATGCAAGTATCACGGACATACTACACACACACGTATACACACATACACACATACATGATATATATATATATATATATATATATATATATATACACATATATACACATGAAGAGATTTTACAAACATTCGTCGTCTATTTGAAAGAATATATCAAATCCTGCCCTCTGAGTATCGTTCATCGACCTTTCTTTTCTCTCTCTCTCTCTTTCTCGCTCGCTCGCTCTTTTTCTCACGAGCAGTCGTTAAAAGTCAAAACGCAATATTCCTTGAGCGTACGAAAAGTTCTGACGATAAACCGCGAGAAGGTACGCCCTCGTATCTTTCGTTTACGAGCTCGGTCACAGCGTGGCCTTGATGAAATTCTGTCCCTCCACCCATCCCTGTTCCCCCTCCTCCTCCTCCTTCTTCTAAGATAAATTCAAGCGGCACCTGCTTAAGAAAGATTCCTTTTCGATCTTAACTTCTTCATAGAGATTCTCTCTGCTTTTCTTCCTTTACCAAGGAGAAGCAAACAAACCATGCTTCCTTCTTCCATCCCCTCCCCCCCGCCCTTTTAACCCTCTTACTCTTCTTATTTTTCATTCCACAGTCACCATCACACCGCAACCATCATTCACCTTTCCCTTCTCTTCCTTGGTGAAATTAGCGAAGCTCCGTCGAGAAGCGGAAGTCGCAGATAGCGCTGGCGGTTAATGAAATTTCCGACGTGGCTCGTGCCACCTTTGACCGCGCGTAATTAAAACTTATTCGTCCTCGGAAAGTTCTCTACTGGTGACACTCACCACTACCACCACCATCATTACCACCACCACCATCACCACCGCTATCACCATTACCACCACCACTATCATCACCATCACTACTACTATTACGTAGTTGCAATCACCAATGTACCATTACTATCTTTCCCATTCTCCCTACTCACCTCTATCTCAATGCACCAACCGGATCACCGTGATGCGTTTCCGGGTACGAGGGAAATTAATTGGTTCTATTGAGGCGAGCCATCTATTCCTCTGTCCCTTCTCTCTCTCTCTGTCTCTCTCTCTCTCTCTCTTTCTTTCTATATATATATATATATATATATATATATATCTTTCTTCAGATAGGACTAAAGTGATGCCGTCTGCTGATGAGAGGGAACCTTCTGGAATCTCCATAATGGTCTGACTACTCGCATTTCACCGATAGGCTGCTGCTAAGAGGTTCGAACATCCACAACGAAGATAAGAAGAAGGGTGCTTCGAAATAACAAGTTCGAAGACGTAACGGCTTATGCAAGGATCTTCTTCTTCTTCTTCTTCTTCTTCTTCTTTTTCTTCTTCTTCTGCTTCTTCTCCTCTTTCTTCTTCTTTTTTTCCACCTTCTCATCCTCCTTCTGATTTTTGTTTTTCTCAAGGTTTTAAAGTTTTGTCCGGATTCGCGTGAAGATGAAGTTCCACGGAGCTTTTCTTTTTCGAACGGATTGGCATCAAAGAGGAATGAGATTTTTTTTTCGTCGTTGACAGATCGATCGAACGATGTCTGCGTTACATCGACGTGATATATGTATTGGACGAAAGAAAAGAAAAGGAAAAAGGATAAGTAAAAAAACAAAAAAAAATAAAAAAGAAAATACAAAACCTCGAGAAATTCGAGTCAATTTGACGAAGACATTGAAAATAATTTTGAATTTGTTTCTAGTACTGGTGTCACTTTAACGACGCGTTTACAAAGTCCTCGAAAGAAAACGAAATGTCGAAATGTTTTGATCGAAATCGAATTTAAGAGTTTTCCGAGAGAAAGAAGGGAAGAACGAGAAAAGGAAAGAAAAGAAAAAAAGAATCAAAACGAGAGAGAGAGAGAGAGAGAGAGAAACAAGACAAAATTCGTTACTATTACGAGAAATCGATTGTCGCCAATTAAAGCTTAACAAAACGATCAAAGTTCTTTTATTAAGACATTTAACAAGGAAAAAAATCAGAAACAAAAAGGAAAGGAAAAATAAAAGGGGAATAAGAAAAACACAGTGATGGGGGGGCGTGGGAGAGTGGGGAGGGGCGGGGAGGAGGAATGGGGGGAAAAATTAAAATTAAAAAGAAAAAGTTCACGTTACATTTTCTCTCATGGGGAAAAATAAAATGTTATTAGCTCATAATTGATAAAGGTCGAGCCAATGGCCAATCTAAACGATATTCTCTCTATTTCGTGCTAGTAACACAGAAGTAATACTCCTATCCGACGTGACGTAAACTGCCAAACTACAAGTAGTACAACCCGTAATTAAGTAGTAGCAGCTACGTGGGATTTGGTGAGTTCAGGGATGAGGTGGGAGGATGGGAGGGCAGGGGGTGGTACGGGGGAGGGGGAGAGTGGAGAGAAGGGAAACCTTTACTAGGCACATCCATTTCCGCTTGCGGAGGCTGTCACCTTGCTTGGACACGTGTGTCACGTACGTACGACTAAACAGTCAGCCACTGGCACGGTATGAACAAACGCTTATCACACCAGTGCCACCACCGTCTCTCGTTCTAGGTTGCCTCGTTCGGAGAAAGGGGTTGTGCGTGGAATGTAATTCGGTGCTTGCTTGTTACTCGCCCTCCATCCATCCATCCATCCCGCCCTTCCTCAACTATACCCTTCTTCCCGCCTGCTATGGTCCTTCTCAGTAGTTAGAGACTACGCTTGGTCAGACAGACAGGCCACCTTTCGGACAGGATCTATAAAGCCATCGCTATAAATTATTGTCCCCCCAACAGGATAAACGACGAACACGCTCATGATAATAATAATGGTAATAATGATAATAATAATAATAATAATAATAATAATAATAATAATAATAATAATAATAATAATAATAATAATATTCTATACGTAATACACCTCTACGTGTTATATCCACGTGTTATATCAGATAATAATAATAATCAAATGTATATTAACGTAAGAACAATGGGATAGATATTTTAAATGCAAAATACATTTTTACATTATTCGCATGTATTTCCTATAGAAAATATTGAATGTGATTAAACGTCGATCGTTATAAAAAGATCATTTTTGAAATTAACGACGACGACGGAGAAACGAGAGGACTGGAGAGGGACTTCGGAGAGGGGTAGGGGGCAGGAGGAAAGAACAAAAGAAAAAAAGAAATATGGAAGAAAACCTGGTACTTTCTCGTACGAAGTTACATTTCATTTCGTTACAAGTCCGTTTAAAAATGCGGAACAAAACGTGAACGTAGTCGAGGATGGACCCGACCGACCGTTTCTTCTTCACGATGAGATTCAATCTCATTTGCATGGTTTTCTTCAAAAAAAAAAAAAAAAAAAAAATAAAAAAAAAAAAGAAAAAAGAAAACAAGAAAAAAAGAGGAAATAAGAAGAAAAAAAGAGAAGGAAAAACAAAAGGAAGAAACGAAAAAGGGAGAAGGGAAAAGGAAAGAGAGAAGAAAAAGAAAAATAAGAAAAATAGAGAGAGAGAGAGAGAGAGAGAGAGAGAGAGAGAGAGAAAGGATAAAAGAGGAAAAGAATGTTCGCTTTCGTGGCATGGATTTACTTTTACGCTGGTGTATCCAGCGCCGTTCGAGGAAGCACGGCTCGACCCTTAAGTACCACCCTTAACTACGATCCAGAAGCACTCTACGACATAGGATAGAAAAGAAAGACCGAGAGAGAGAGAGAGAGAGAGAGAGAGAGAGAATAAGAAAGAAAGAAAGAGGAAACGGTAGAAAGAGAGATTCTTGTGGACGAGTTCTGAAGGACGAATGAAAAATGGAATTGCAAACGAGGAAGAAAAGCGACGTTCGGTTACCATCGTTCTTTCGGTTTCTACGACGAATATCAAGAGAATAAGAGACAGCAAGAAAGAAAAAGAGTAAGAGAAGGATATATATATATATATATATATATATATACATAGTGAAAGAGGGGCAGGAATGAAGGGATGCAGGAGAGGGTGGAAATAGAGAAGGCGTACTTTTGTTCGTGTACCTGGTTTGCACCGACGAGGCGTCGCACGGCCGTTCTCTCTATGCTAAAATCCCGGCCATAATTGTTATGCAAACCGACCGCTGAATAATGCAGCGCGCGAAATTCATACGTGGCGCGCGAGCTAGCCTTGCCGCTTTACTTTCAGCCAGGCGCAGTTATCTCTCTCTTTTTCTCTCTCTCTCTCACTCTCTCTGTCTGTCTGTCTTTCTCTCTCTTTCTCTTTCTCTCTCCCTTCGTACTAGCGGACGAACGAGGCCGTATCAAATAATTTTAGAGTCTGTTTTAATAATTAATAAAGCTCTCCTTCTTTCTCTCTCTTTTTATTTCTCTCCCTCTATCCTTCTCTCTCTCTCTCTCTCTCTCTCTCTCTCTCTCTCTTTCACTCTCTTACTCTCCTTTCGTGTTCGCTCGCGTTGTTGCTTCCGAAAGCTTGACTCCTGAGCCATACACCAGCAGGGTGAGTCAGCAGCCTGGAACGATATGGCACGATGATATTTTTCCTGAATGGAAAATATCAGAACGCATCTGCCTGTATATATAATATACATATAATATATATATATATATATATATATATATATGTATGTACGTATGTGTATATAAATATATATATATATATAAAACTCTTTCTCCCATATTTTTTGTCTCTTTCTTTTTCTTTAGTTTGAACGAACGTATTCCTCCCCACCACCCTTCCCCCTTCCACCCTTCCACCCATCCGCATCCCGCCAGCGGCAAGTGATATCTAAATAGAATAAAAGCGAAAATTATTCAGCCCCTTTTTGCGAATGCGGAATAAATCGAGCTATTCTTTGAATATCATCCCTCTCTTCTACCATCTATTCCTTCCATGCTCTCTCCGACGGTCGTCCCAAACACAGATAGAATTATCGTTTTACCAGTGATGACACGCCGGTAATCGAATTTTTGCAAATTCGCTTTGCACGCTCGCTGAATAATTCTCTCTCTCTCTCTCTCTCTTTCTCTCCATGTCTGTCTTTCTATATGCGTGTAGTTATTTTTCTTGCGGCGTACGCTAATTGGAGAATCATTTTTGTTCAGAGATTACCTGACTCGTGTATATAACGAGCTCGATGGTTATCCTACTACTGAGAGAAGAGAAAAAAGCTCGTGGGTGCTTTTCGTGCTTGGGAAATCCGATCGGCCAAGCTTTTTCTTCTTCGCTGATAAGAAAAGTTAATCGCCTTGGTTGCACGTAAACGTTGCTGTAAACGAGAAAGAGAAAGACTGAGTGAATGAGTCTGTGTGTGTGTGTGTGTGTGTATGTATGTATGTCTGTGAGAGAGAAAGAGAGAGAGAAAGAGGAAAGTATATGATATTTTTCTTTATCCAGTAGACCAAATGATACTGGATGGACAAATATCGAACGACGCAATGAATTCGTAAACGTTAATATGGCTGACTTGATGTATCATTTTCTCTCTCTCTCTCTCTCTCTATTCCTCTCTTTATATATATATATATATATATAAAGTTGTGTCAGCTATATTTTGAAATAGCTATACGCGTTACAAGCGACCTCCTTTCATATTCCAAATATACCTACGTATGTATTTACCTACGTACATTTCATATATGTGGAGAGAGGATGGCGAAAGCGAAAACCATTCGACCGATACATTCGCTTTATTTTTACTCGTGTCCGTTGGACATTTGATAAATATTTGATATTTAGCTCGGAATAAACCGAAACACGGCTCGGTGTATTCTACGTGACGCGATTTCACAGTCCTAACCATGAAAATATAATTTAGGATGTCGGCCATTGATCTTGTTTTCTTTTATTTCTAGATCTATTTATCCCGAGATATAACATTTCAAAGAAGAAAATACATATTTTTCTACATATATATATATATGAAATTAAAAATGAAATTGTTCTTTTAATTTCTATATTTCATTTTTTATAATTTGAATATAATATTTGCAAATTTTGTAGATCTATCAATGTCGATTACGAGACAATATTTAAACGAGAAGAAAGAAAAGAGAGGAAAAAACAAAAAAAAGAAAAAAAAACGAAAAAAAAAGAAAAGAAAAGAAAAGAGAATGGTGGAAAAAAAAGAAAAGCTTTGTTGGTCGATTATCAGTATGAAGTTTCATAGTTAATTAATTAAATGCAATAAATGCAATAGATATTATCGATATTACAGTTTCATATTCAATAATCGCGATTTGAATTTCTGCGCTTGGTTTTTCCCCAAGTGAAAGAAAATCATATTCCATACGATTTTAAATATAAAAAAAGAAAAAAAAAACAAAAAAAAAAGAAAAAAAACAAAAAAAGAAAAAAAAAGGGAGAAAGACATAATGTAGCTGCCGTTACGCGAAATTCCATGAAATTTATATAATTTTCCGATTGCCATCGGCCTTCGTGTATTTTCCATCGATGCACAGACAGACAGATAGACAGAGAGAGAGAGAGAGAGAGAGAGAGAGAGAGAATGAATCATTCGATATCCGATACAGGAATTTATCGATTGGTTTTAATAAAACCAACAAAAAGTCTTATCGTCTTTCATGTTTCTCTTGTTATCGACTAATATTTTACTAATTACTAATATATCAATTTTCTTCTTTTTCAATCTTTCTTTCTCTCTCTCTCTCTCTCTCTCTCTCTCTTTTTCTCTACTTCGAAAGTGCAACTAAATTATATCGTTAATGCATTCAATTAATTTCAATGGTATCAGATAAAAGGAAATATCACGATGTTTATCTTACTTTATCGAACTCAAGGGAAGCGTCTCGTTTCGTGTTTGCTCTCGAAATCGTTTTTACGATTTTACAATCGTAAAATGCAAACGGCGTACTTTCGTTTGAAAAGAAAGAGAAGAAAAGAGATAAACGGATATCGAAGAAGAGTCTTTCTCTTTCTTTCTTACCTTCTTTGTCTCTCTTTCTCTCTCTCTCTCTCTCTCTCTCTCTCTCTCTCATACTCTCGCTCTCTTTCACTCTCATTCTTTCTCTTTCCTTCTTTCTTTCTACTTCGAGCTGTGGAACGTAACGAGGAAAAAAAAAAGTAGAAATCCGATTATAAGAGAGAAAACGTCCTCCAGGCGTAAAGAGGCGAATCTTCCGTTAGCCTTTCTTAGTACCCTCTTCTCCCTCCCAACGAAAACCTGTTGACCGTTAAAACCCTGAAAATCACGAACCCCGAACCATTTCGACCTTTTAAGATACGTTCGCCTTGCGAACGACCTTTCACCATTTTGCACAGATTTTGAAAATAAGAAATATTTCGCAAAAAGTTTTTCCTTGTATTGTTATATCTCCGATAATGATAATGATGATAATAATAATAATAATAATAATAATAATAATAATAGTAATAATAATAATAATAAAAAAAAAAGAAAGGAAAAAAAAAGAAAACAAAAAATTAGAAAGAGAAAAATAAAAAGAAAGAAAGAGGATGGATTATAAAAAAAAAAAACAACTTTTATATTTTACATTGTACGTTTAAAAATCTCAATGCATAGGCCTGGTCGTGGCGTCAATTTCGTTTTAATCGATCAACACGAATATTAAATTTTTTAACTTTTATCTCTAGGTAACTCCTCCGATGAAATTCTCCATAAAATGGAGAGGCGAATTAAAATCAGAACAGCTTATATATATATATATATAAATCGATTTTTGAGATGTATTAAATATAAAAACTTTGGAAAATAAATAAAAAAGAACGAAAAAAAAAAGAAAAAAAAGAAGGTATTTAAATTAAAGTAAATGTTATACCCAACTAATCGCATTTAATTGTTAATTATGATGCTTTTAAAAAGTTTTACATACACATACGTATACACAGACAGACATATACATGTATATATTACATATGTGTATAACTATAACGTCCGACAAATCAAGTTATTCCACATATCACAAAGGCCGAGGATATAGAGATGGCTGACTCGGTTATTCGATTAAAATATCGTTCGTGAAAATCGCCGCTCGTTTCCGATCGTTCGACCAAAAATTTACTGGCGGCTAGAAGCGAAAACGTATGCGCTATGCAGCCGATGCTATATTCTCTATCTCTCTCTCTCTCTCTCTCTCTCTCTCTCTCTCTCTCTCTCTCTTTCACTCTCTCTTTATCTCTTTCTCTTTCTCTTTCTCTTTGCTGCGCTGTGAATGCATCGGGCGTAAATTGTGCGTGATTTATCTGCTGTTTTGCGCAAAAGGTGTTCACGAAAATTGAAAAGCTTCATTGTTGTATAACCGCTGCTGCTGCTTCTACTGCTGCTACTGCTGCTGCTGCTACTGCTGCTACTGCTACTGCTATTGCTATTGCTACTGCTATTGCTACTGTTTCCCGAATGAGCTCGCGTATAAATATCTCAAATCGTATCACTTTATGTCATTTTCCCCAACAGAAAGATAACAATTCATTATCTATCAGGATAATGATAAAGTTATCTTAAGAATCTTATAAAATTTTCATTTGTTCTCGTTATTAACTTAAATGCTTTGATTTCAATCTCAAAGATTTGCAGTTTTATTTCATTCATTGTTACCGGCGTTGGATACATTAGAAGCTTTCAGAGAAAATTAGAGAACTTTTCTTACATGAACTGACAGCTCAAGTTGGATAACATCTCTCTCTCTCTCTCTCTCTCTCTCTCTTTCTCTCTTTTTCTCTTCCTTACTCTTTTCCTTACATTTATAGCTTGCAAGCTTTCAGCCACAATTAAAAATAAAATGTGACTGTTCAAATTTCTTCGAATAATTAAAAGAACGTTATTTTTTTGGTTGATTGTCATTTCTTAAATCGTATAAAATCAATTCAATGTAAATTAAATAAAAACGATCAAGTTCTATAATCTCTTCGATGATACATAATTAAAAAATGAAATATAATATATTATCAAAATACATTTTACATACGTATTTATTACAGATAATAAATAGTTACATTTTGTATGAAGATAAATATTTAATACATCTGTAATCTGTATAACATGTAACATATATAATATACGTGTGTTAAATAAGTATCTAACAATGAGTTAACGTGCGTTAATAACTCTATTGTTTGTTCGATACAACGTTATTATGAATGATTTATACGAATACGCGAAACGTAAAATCTCATATTTTTGCGTTAAACACGTTATATCTCGATAGCTTTTCTTTTTCAATGATTGAAGATATGAGAACAAATGACTGTAACAACTTTTAAAACGACCCTTGTAATTAGACGGCGCGTTTTAGCCGTTCTGTGCTTTATTCGTACTTCGAATGCGCATAAACGAGAATAATGCCGCGCCCTGAAGTTGAAAGAGAGAGAGAGAGAGAGAGAGAGAGAGAGAGAGAGAGAGAGAGAGTTAGAGAGAGACAAGGCGTGGACTGAAATTTAATTTGCAATTAATTCTACGGACGTGTTTATTCTTAATTAACTTCGATTGTGCGGCTGACATTGTAATCGGTGAACGTGATATCGAAAAAGTAAGTGAGAGAGAGAGATTGAGAGAGAGAGAGAGAGAGAGAGAGAGAGAGAGAGGAAAGAGGATTGATAGAGCTTTCGCTCATACTTCGTTGAATACCACTTTATTGTACGTTTCATATTACTTCGATATTAATTTTCAATTGCAATCAGTATCTACAAACTGAAAATACGAACTGACACGCATTGATATTATAAAAGTTTGATTGCAATACTTGTTTCGCTTTTCGAAAACGAGCAACGAAAACGGAAGTTGTTTCTACGTGCACATTCATCTACGAATTTATACTTGTACATGCATATGTGTGCATGTGTGTATATATATATATATATATATATATATATATATATATATATATATATGAACCATTTGGAAACTTTTGAAAAGCTCTAAAAGCCGATCGGCAGGACAACATTAATTTGATGTCACTACGTTCGATATCTCGTTCACGAAAAGCACAACATAGCTAACTAATAGATCTCTTGAAATGACGCGTGACTCCCTATATATATATACATAAAATAAATAAATAAATAAATAAATAAATAAATAAATAAATAAATAAATAAATAAATAAATAAATAAATAAATAAATAAATAAATAAAGTGAAAAAGAGAAAGAGAAAGACAAATTCGCGCCTACAAACGATTTCCATATTACCATGCATACAATCGTGTATATATATACATACATACATATTGTACACACACACATATATATATATATATATATACTATAGATTTAACTATTTATGAGCGTCATT